TCCCCCAAATGCAATCCCACAATCTGCTTTCAGTCAAACAATAAAACTGAAATTGACATTGTACATACATTCCTTTACGTAGTCTGGTTTGTGTCTTGAAAGTCAAACTGAAAAGTCAAAGTAGGGATGCACTCAGTATATTAAGTCAAAGCATAATCAGGAATACAAGTAGTGGATTATAGCTGGTTTTATAGAAGGGAAGCAATGGTTACCTTTTAATTCCCTGCCTCCAGAACTCCTCCTGAGTTCCGGCAGAGCTCCCAATCGGTGGGCTGACTCCCCACAGAGTCTTGCTGCAGTCCTACCGGTTGCAATCCCGCCTGCCGCCTTCCTCTCAGAACAGGACTAGACTTGGAGTAAGAAGGATAGAGGTAGAGGTTTCAGACGCTCGAGATACAAGAAAGGGATTGACTCAACTCCCTAGAGAGGGCCTTGAAATCTCGATCCTTTTGAGGGCCCTGCAATGGCCGCCAAACCGTGCATGCAACTTGGTTAACTGAAGTCAACTGTCAACCGTTGACCCTCTAGATGATCCTCCAAGTCGCAACAGTAACCCACCTTTCAGAGATCTCAGTCTTCCCGCAAAACTTCAAGGTTGGGAATTAAGTGTCATAGGTAAGCTCACTAACTCGTAACTCCCCTCCAACCACTGCGCGTAGTAGGGTTATCGGCACATCGGCTAAGAACCGAATCCACACTCCGTATCCGGCATGCTATCACTTTAGCCAGCAACAGACGGTGTTGCCGGTTGAGCAAGGAGCTTGCAGCCTTCGTAACTCGCCTCCCATCACTCCGTTCGGTCAGAAGGATGGCACACCACCCGCAGGCAAGTATGCAGACCCGCAGCTTGCCCAACACACCTTCGACTGTTGACCCGAGCGGCACTACAACCCTTGGGCAAACATCCAGCTCCGCAACTGATCCCTTGATCCTTCCGCTTAGTGGGATGAGGAGCGGATTAGCCAATAGGCAGATCTCCAATCCCACAGCTTGCCGCCTTCTTCCTCTCCCTCAAGTTTTACAAGCCTGCACTCGCTTCGCCTCAACCACAACCGTCTGCCCAGGCTGAGCGTGATGGAACCGGAAGTGAACCCGTCGCTGGGCCCCGTCCAAGTTTGTTCTAACCGCAAGCGGTGGAGCAGTCCGCCGTCGTCAGCACCAACAACTAAATTGGGTGAAGATGTCGACCCAGCAGGTCATTACTACAACCAGGTACGTGGTTCGCGTCACCGGCTTCACCCTTCGTCTGAGCGGGAATGCATCCCCCGCACTGCTAGCGGTACTTGCCTCAGCCCGCTCGTTAATCACTCACTCCCGCACTTTCTGCAGAAGTATGCAGTCGGATGCTGCTCTTTCCGTCTTGTCGTGGTAGCACTTCGTGCAGTTTGACATCATGACTCGACTTTCGGTTTAACCCGCAACACCTTCTCGTCAACCAGGTACGTGCTATCTTCTTGCCCCGTCACAGTTTCAGATACGTGTGCTTCATCTTCCTCTCTCTCTCTCTCTCTCTCTCTCTCTCTCTCTCTCTCTCTCTCTCTCTCTCTCTCTCTCTCTCTCTCTCTCTCTCTCTCTCCTGTGTATTTGGCCGACGCCTCGACCCGGCGAAGTATGTATCCATCTTGCGGCGGTCCTCGCGAAGTGAAAGCCCGGTTGGAACTTGGACATATATGTTGTCAAGCCTTACGCTAGTTTGTCACCGTAGCTCGACTTTCGGATCGTCCCACCTAGCCCGCTCTAGCTGTCATGTGAGTGCCTCTTCTCCCTTCAACTCTCCTCCCTAGCGCCCATGCATTCGTGTTGCTCCGCACAGAAGTCCCGCCAGGTAAGTATGGTGCAGATCTGCGTTAAAAGAGGATGAATCTTCCCCAAAACGTGGGAAGATTCACGCCACTCTTACAACGAGTTTTTCTGTTCAGTGCAGCTGCCATCCCTGGTATCTCGAATCCTCCCCCTTAACCTCTTAATCGGAGCACATCATCGGATTCGCCCATTGTTAAAACCGCTACTTTAGTTCCCACCCTGACCGATTCCGCTGAGGTTCGAGTAGTCATCTCGATTTTTCACTCTCTTCTCACCCCTCTCCTCCATATCCATTGCGCAGCCTATACTCGTCATATCCTAAAATCTACCCACAAATAACTGAAACTAACTTCATGATCTAACTTGAAGCTATCAAGAACCCCTATTCAACCTCTTCCTCCACTCGATTCCATGAAGAATCGAGTGAAATCCCAACTTTTTCACTTCCCATCGTCTCCTCTTTCTGCCATCGCCGCGCGGCCTCGTTCCCTACTAACTCCTAACTTACTAACTTTTTACAAATTCTAACTTCAAAAACATACTCGCCCGGGTCAAAAACCCCTACTTACTCTCTTTCCTCGCTCATTTTCATCGAGAAATGAGCGAGGTATGCTCTTTCTTACTTTGCCATGACTCGCTCTCACTCCGCTCTGCCATCCTCTTCTCCAAATGTATCTAGCACGGTTTCCCGCCCAGGTTCCATCCTTCTTCTCCCTCGTATCTTCTTCCCACTTCTGATGCCTCCGTCAGTTTCTTGGGCCCGGGTATTCGGCTACTCACTTCCCGTAGTGTAACGACAGGCGCTCCACTTTCGACAAGTCTTTCGCCCCTATACCCAACTCCAACACCCGATTTGTACATTAGTATAGTTGCGCCATCCACCACGGTCCCCTCCGACCCGTTCTGTCAGCGAACGCCGCCCTTGGCAGGCAGCGGCCCGACAACGCCCGGTCAGCCTGGCGATCACGAAGAAAGCCTCGAGAAAAAGGACCAACTACCAGCCAGTTCGAGTGGCTCTTCGCGCCTATACCTACATCCTACAAACGTTGTACAGCGGTGTAACTGCGGCCCCCCCTCCCGCAACACGTGGTCCCACAGCCGTGCAGCAAACTGCTGCACGCTCCGGCTACCCCGAAGAAAACCTCTGATGGAACTCTCCACTTAGACGGCCTGTCTCTTCCGCCCTTATGCCTAAGTCCGATGGACGTTTTGCAACACAGTTTCGCCGCGGGCCTCCACTGCAACGCTCTGCTGCCCGATATGCTCAGGCTAACTTGTAACTACTTTAGCCCCTCGATAGGCAATTCTTACATAGGCAGCCTGTCGCTGAGTCGGGGGCACAGCCCTGCAGTAAGGTCTCGACACGGTCTAGTGCAGATCCCAGGGGTAATAGCAAATATTCAAATGAGAATTTTGAAGGCCGAAGCGGAGGAGAGTCCCGCGGGCATACTCACACCCAACCCCTCCACTGCGGACTTTCTCCATCTCATGGGCTAATTGCCCACCGGCTTGCAGGCACGTTGAACTCGTCGGTCAACGTTCCAAGACTGGCAGGGCACAAGGATCCAACCAATATCCCGAATACGCGGAATCCGAACGGGTCCATCAAAAGAAGGCTCATATTCAAAGTCATCGACTGTCGTGACGACCACTAGCTCCGATGTCGCCGACCGCAAAACGAAAGGGGGATAGCCCCGGCGGGCCCTCGACCTCTTCGGTCGCCTCGCGGTACTCTGATATCCCCGCGTCGTCGCCACTCGGTCTCTATCCCCGAATCTCTTTGCTGAAAGTCCGATGCTGTAACCAATAACACCAGGCCCAAGTCTGGGTCTAGCTATGACGGATACCTAAAAATAAAACGGATACTGTGCGACATGCGAATCTTACTAAAAATATTTCAAGGTCGTCTCATTATCGATGTCGTTCTCCGCATGTATGCACAAGTCACAGGCAAGCGCATCAATCAAACGAGACATAATCTTTTGAATTTTAGTTTGATCAGAAATAAAAGATCTGGCCGGCGAGCAACGCCGACTTTCACGATCATCAAGGAGAAACAGATCATGTGCGCCTTAAGTCTGCGCGCCCACACACTCTCTGCTCTAGTCAACCATCCAGTCAACGTAAATCACAGACGCGGCCGCGCCCTCGCGCGGAATACTTAAAATTTTAAACCGAACTTATTTTCTGCCACTTGCAAAAACCAGGGCGGATACAAGGGTATTCACACCGACACCGTATAGCTTGTATCCGCTGTGCCCAAAATGGTCATAACCAGTTCAAGTGTCGGAACCGTAAAGTGACAGAAAAGATCCCGTTTACGATGGGGCAGGTGCCGGTCTCCTCCGCTTCTCAGGGTAGCAACGCTGCCAGCAGTTCTGGCACTGCTTCGGGAAACACGTCGGGCCAATAGGAATTACAAATAAGGTCGAGGTGGTGGACACACCCTCACCATCTCGAGAAACAGCCCAAGCTATTGACTTTGTTGTCGTCCCGCAAACACATTCGGACCAATCGATCCTCTATTCGATGAATGTGTTTGAGTCCTTAGAGGAGCTAGAGGAGGAGTGGTCTAGATCAGACCACTAACTTCTTGGACGACAATGGCTAAAGCTCCTAAGGTTGAGTTGTTCGTCGGCGAAGTAGATATCGGCGGTCGTAAGGTTGGGGCCTTCTACGATACATGTTCGATGAGGAACTTTATCAGTTGCACTTGTGTTGAAAGGCTGCGCTTACAGGGGCAAGTGCAGCGCCTCAATCGACCTGTGGAGTCGACCTATGCCAACAAACAGCGCATGGTAGTCAATGACTACATGAAAGACATTGAGTGTCGTTTCCTGTACGCGGGAGGGGAACTGAGACATAGAGTCTCGTTCCTAGTCAGCGATGATCTCCCTATGGATATCTTGTTGGGTATGTACTATCTTTCAGTTGCACAACCCGAGTTTGACTAGGACTGAAAAGTGGTCAAACACACTTCGCTCGGAGGGGGGACCGCCATATTATGTAAGTATAAAGCTAGTAGTCTGATTGAGTCCTACGGATGCATGTTTGCGGCCACGTTCTATACTTATTATAAGCAAAATCCGGAGGAGGGCATTTCTCTGCAGAGGGCGAGCCGATGAAAATGCTTCCAGAGATAGAGGGAGTGGTCGCTAAATACCCGGATCTATTTGAAGAGCCAAAAGGGGGTGTTGAGAGGGAGGTTGTCCACGCGATAGAGATTATCCATGGGTCTAGTATTTTGAAGGGTAGGATCTATCGGATGTCTCTAGCAGAGCTTGACGAGCTTCGTCGACAACTCAAGGATCTCACAAAGAAGGGTTGGATCTGGCCGAGTGTCTCCCCTTATCGGTCTCCTGTCCTATTTGTACCAAAGAAGGGGGGAAAGTTGAGGATGTGCATTGACTATAGGGACCTCAATGCCATCACTGTGAAGAACGCAGAGCCCCTATCGCGCATCGATGACTTGTTGGACCGAGTGCAAGGTTGCCGGTACTTCAGTAAGATAGATATGAAGTCCGGGTACCATCAGATTGCAATTCGGCCCGAGGATCAACACAAAACCGCTTTTCAGACCAGGTACGGTCTGTACGAGTTTGTGGTGATGCCTTTCGGCCTTTGCACTGCTCCTGGCACCTTTCAGCACGCGATGAACCGGATTTTTCATGACTACCTAGATAAGTTTGTCATCGTGTACCTCGACGACATACTTATCTTCAGTAGGACTATCGAGGAGCATGTAGCTCATCTAGACAAAGTTCTTAGTTTCCTTCGACAACACCAGTTCAAGATTAACCGGGAAAAGTGCGAGTTTGGCCGCACCCGGGTCTTGTATCTCTGTCATGAGATTTCCGCGGAAGGATTGCGGCCCGATGACGCGAAGGTGACCACCATTCGTGACTGGCCGCGTCCTCAGTCTGTGACTGAGGTGAGGTCCTTCTTAGGGATGACCGACTACTACCGCAATTTCGTGAAGAATTATAGCATAGTAACCGCACCCTCGTCGAATCTCACACGCCTTGACACCCCCTGGGAGTGGACAGACAGGTGTGCGGCTGCTTTCAGATATTTGAAGCACTCTCTGACGCACCATGAGGTCTTGAAACTTCCTAATCCTGACAAAGCATTCGTTGTGACCATGGATGCCAGCCAATATGGCATTGGTGTCGTGCTTGCGCAGCAGGAGGGGGAAAAGTTGAGGCCGGTAGAGTACATGTCCAAAAAGACGCCCTCTCAAAAGTTGGCTAAGTCCACCTATGAGAAGGAACTCTATGTGATCTACAAAGCGTTGAACCATTGGAGGAACTATCTCCTTGGGAGATTCTTTTACGTCAGGACTGATCATCAGACCCTGAGGTGGATGAGGACACAACCTGTACTCTCCGATGCTTTGAAACGCTGGATTGAAGTCATAGAACAATATGACTTCAAACCTCAGTACATCAAAGGGGAGTACAACAAGGTTGCTGATGCGCTTTCGCGTAGACCGAACTTTCTTGGTGCACTGATCATTGAGTTTGGGCTTGCAGACGATGTTACTCGGTCCTTGGTAGAAGCCTATCGTGAGGATCCATTTATGGCAGAGGTGATACGCAGACTCGAGGCGAAGGGCAAGGTAACTTCTGACGAGTTTGTGTTGGTCGATGGCCTGCTGTTCCTCGAGAAGTCCGCGAATAAACATTTGTGTGTGCCGAACCGGGAGTCTTTGCGTAATTTATTTTTAGGCGAGGGTCACATAGGACATTTTGGATATAAGAACATTGCAGCAAACTTGTTGCAGCAGTTCTGGTGGCCCACAATGATGAAAGACGCCAAGCTGTACGTGGAAACTTGTCAGGTGTGTCAGAGAGACAAGTGACACACATAGGCTCCTCTTGGGCTTCTCAAGCCCCTTCCGATTTCGGAAAGGCTCGGTGAGAGCCTGTCCATGGATTTCATGGATACGCTGGTCACCAGCAAGAGCGGTATGAGATATGCTTTTGTCATTGTGGATAGATTTAGTAAGTACGCTAGGTTAGTCGCGATGCCTGAAACAGCCAAGACCGGGATGTACGATTCACGAGTGAGTTGTGGAAGGTTGCAGCTGCTGAACAAGGGACACAACTGCAGATGACCTCCGGGAATCACCCAGAGGCAAACGGGCAAGCAGAGCAGCTGATCCGCGCTGTACAACACCTGCTGAGGCACTATATCAAGCCTAATGAGGTGGACTGGGATGAGAAGCTTGCTCTTGTCGCCAGTTTGTACAACAACGTTGTGCACAACGCAACAGGGGTGAGCCCCAACAGTCTGCTACTGACTTTCAAGCCTCGACTGCCTCTAGGTTTCTTATTACCTGAGAACCAGGCGCAGTCCACTGCTGCGCCTGGTACATTGGAATTTGCTTACCGTTATGAAGGCCTTATGCAGCAAGCAGTGGATCAGATGCACAAAGCACGGGCGGCTATGATAGAGTATGAGAACAAGCATCACCGCCCGTCTGCATTTCAAGTTGGGGATAGAGTCTGGGTGAAGTCATCTGAACTTGGGCAAGAGCACGGAATCTCGCGTAAGCTCATGCCTCAGTATTTCGGACCATGGGAGGTCTTAGACGTGGTTGGAGACGAACGCGATGGACCTTCCTATGTGGTGCAAATCCCTAGTCACCTTTGCACCCCTTGTCTTTCACGCCTCCAAACTTTCACCTTTCAAGGAAACTGACCAGTTTCCCTCTCGTCGGTCAATGCTGCCCCCAACCATGGATGGTGAGGTTGACATCGACGACAGAGTTGACCATAGGGAAATGTCGGTTCCAAGACCAACAGGGAGGGGCCGTCCTCCGAAGCCGAAGCTGCAGTATCGTGTTTGGTTCAGACATCACACTGATCCAAAAGAGGACAGATGGTTTACGAGGGAGGAACTGATGCAGACCCCTCCGCAGGTTCTCGCTCACTATCAGAAGTTGCTGCAGAAAGGAAAGCACCAGATTCAGTGAACTTCTCAGAGGACTATCGAAGTATGGAGGGGGGAATGTGAAGCTCAAGGCCTCGGTAAGCCCTACTGGGCCCTGTTTCAGCAAAGAGCAGTCGCCCTAAGTGAAGGCGGGGCTGACAAGTGACAAGAGGCCTATTTTGTGTTTTGACGCAGCTGGGGAAATTCAGGCAGTTACACCGCGTCAGTTGGTTTAATGCGCCCAGGCCCTGCCTGCCAACCTCTCGGGCCTTCAGGCCCTTTATCAAATGAATCGGAGGCAGGCCCTGGACCAGACACAGGGCATGAACTGAACACAGGCCGACTGGGTAGTTGGACACGCGTAACCTCCCCAGGCCCTGTGGAAGATTCCCTGGGACAGGGGCTCAGCCACTTGGGGCCTACCGGAAGCTTCTTGGGAGAGGCCCAGGCGAGCCAGGCAGCCCACATCTGGCAGCGTCATTCCATAAAGGAAAGGGCCTGGCTGATGGCTGGACATTCGGCCACTCGCTGCTTATGCGCAAGCGCTGCTGCGTTAGCTGCTGAAGCGAGTGCCTACGCGCTCACGGGCGAGCAGGGAAGAAGCAGGCAGCCATAGCCGAGCTGGCCGGCACATTGCTGGATGGGGCGCATGGTGGTCTTCGGGTGCATGTGGCATCTATGTGGATGATTGAGGTTGTGAGTGAAGCGAGGGACATAACTGGTGTTTGATGCGAACGGCATCGGTCGAGATCTGCTCGTACTTCGGGAAGCTGTTGACGTCACCAACAGCATTGTAGATAGGCTAGATAGGATCTGCCATTTGTAGTGTGGGCACTGACCGCCAGCTAGGGATTCGACATTGGTTCATTGTTGATGATGATGAGAATATTCCACCATTGTCACTTGTGAGCTTTTGCTGTGCTCTTATTTGGTGGAACTCGAGTTGCAATTCTGATTTTGGTCCGAGGTCAAGACTATCTGGTTTCATGTGTATGATGCTGCTTGGTTTCTCGAATTCGCTATCGCTCATTTCCTTGCACTATAATAATTCTGTGCATTTGGCTACAGCACGAACGCCCATATAACTACATTTCGGTTGGCGCCCACGTAGGCACATCGATTGTCTGAACCCTGATTAAGTGCAAAGGCTTCCGCCAGGGACTCGGGAGTTCGCTGTTAAATATCAGAAAGACTAGAAAAGGTGATAGAGAACATCAGAAAGGTGCAGCATCAGATGATTGTTATATACCCGATTGAACTTCAATCCACAACGAATTCACACGTTCCCATATACGCATGCAATTTCAGAGTAGACTCGAAGGAGGCAAATCCACACAAAACCAAAGCGGAGATATGCACAGCGGAAGCTCAAAATACACAGAGAATTGAAAAACGAATTTCAATTCTGCAATCCCTCATCCTCCTCCAATCAATCCAGAATACTTGTTCCARGAATCCCAACCACATTATCAACACCCATGGACCAATTATTTACAAGATTTCATCGAATACTTTGGGAGTCTTCTTCTTCCTCCCTCTTCCTCAAGCTCTAGCTATGGTGCCTGCGGGCACCCAACCTATCAAGCCTGCCAATCGCCACACACCCTC